AGAGTACGTCTCATTGTTGCCATCTAATGGTCATAGTGACTTTCACAGCCCAGATGTAATAGCACCTTTCACACAACCCAAGCAGCAGCACAGGGAAATACCAATGCAATCTAGACATACGGAAAGGATTAATCCTTTATAGCAAGGTGGTCTCGGGAAAGACTTTGCTGCAAATTTCAGAAAATTTCAGTTTTTAACAGGTGACGCAAAGCTGAACAAGTTCAGTTCTTCAGATCTGTAGAGACAGGAAAACTGTATCAACTTTGCCTGGTCTCTCTTTTATTGTCTGAATCTATTACATCATATCTTTATTCAAAAGTAGGTAAAAAGGAGGGAGATGGGCTGCATATACACACACACACACACACACACACATATATATATATATATACACACACATATACATACATATATATATATACATATACATATATGTCTCCCTTTATTTCTTTATCAGCGAAATATAAATTTGGTATAAAAATGAAAGGGAGCAGTATGCTCCCTCCCACATGTTGGGGTAGACGAGGTGCCTCGATAGAAAAACACTTAATCTCTCCCCTTGCTCAAGCTGATGAAGGGAGGAGAACTTGTCGGGGAAACACGGTATATATGTGTGTGTGTGTTTGCGTGTAATTTACAAATGTACATACATACATACACAAACATACACTTGGGTTTGTTCCCAAGTAAGTACGTAGAGTAAAATTTAGAGTAAGTCACATTGACTCAATGGAACTTGCTTTGAGGAGGCAACTGTAAGATTTTACTGTTTATATGTTGAAATTGATGGCAATTGTGAACTGGCAGCTTATGAATTATTATGCCAGATGTTAACATTATTCTCAATCAGTTGGATTTTGCAAGAATACCTAAACATTCTGGCTCTTTTCAGGAAAGACTCATTACCAGGGCAAACTTAGTTCCTCTTTTTCTTTCAGTTTGCCCATTTGAATGTAACAAAAGGATGCGAGGACTTTCTCGTCAAAGGAAAAGAAACCCTGAACATTCTGTTCACATTCCTTTGGGCCTGAAGACACACTGGCCAAGGATGAACGCTTGATTGACTGATTGATTGATTCCTTCAGGCTGATTGCCCATAGATTCTATAAAACTGTGCACAATAGATCATATCTACCAGAAACGTTATTCAAGCACAAAACAAGGTCAGGAGAAAGAAGCGGATCTTACGATTCGTACGTCTGGTATGGTGGAGCGGTTAAGAAGTGGGATGACTTTTGGTCTCTTAACCTACCCCATAGGGTCTCTGCAGAGGAAAAATTGAAAAAAAGATTGCTATATATTCCCCCTTAACAGAGGTGGGTTTCGGAATATCTTGCTACCGGTTTGCCACATGTGGGCACACTCGTTTCGTGTGCGTGTGTGCTCAGTTCGTGTGCACGTCTGCCTTCCGCACATGTGCTCAGCCTCAAAAATGTGCCTAAATTGGATGGCATAGAGCCAGGGTAGGTCGGCAAGCCGGGCCCACACGTGATTTCCACTACCAGCTCAGGAGAACTGGTCCGAACCGGCTGAATACCACCTCTGTCCCTTAAGTTCCTGGAGAAAAGATATAAAGGATACAATATAAATCAGTGGTGAAATGTAAAATTTGTAACTACCAGTTCTGTGGGCATGGCTTATTTTGTGGGCGTGGTTTAGTGGTGGGGGGTAATGTGACTGGGTGGGCAAGGCCAACTTTTTTTTTTTACTTTTAAAAGCATTTTTTCTACAACTTTAAGAGGTTGCAGAAAAAAATGCTTTTAAAAGCCTCTGACGATCAGGCAACTCAGCTGGGATCGTCAGAGGCTTTTAAAGGAATTTTTTTTTCTACAACCTCTTCGGCTGAAGAGGTTGCAGAAAAAAATGCCACGTAATCATCAGAGGCTTTTTTTTTAACTTTTAAAAGCATTTTTTCGGCCGAAGAGATTGTAGAAAAAATGCTTTTAAAAGTAAAAAAAAAGCATCTGATAATCGCGCAGCTCAGCTGGGCATTGGGGGGGGGAAGGGATTTTTGCTACCGGTTCTCCGAACCACCCTCCGCCATCGCTACCGGATCGGGCAATCTGGTTCGAACCGGAAGCATTTCACCTCTGATATAAATCTAACCAATCAATAAATATGATTGAAAGGTGAATTAGTAATAACAATAATAATTGGATGGGGATCATGTATTAAAATGTCCTTATCCCAAGCCTAGTCATTCATTCATTTTAGCAGTTATGACTCAGAATGTGCAACAATAATATTTTTTAAAAAAGAATAAACCAAATACAAACAATACAGCAGTGAATCATAGTAAAAACAAGCAGGCTGTAGAACAGCATCAGGCTGTGGGAGTCAAAAACAAGATCGTAAAATGTATGCACTTTTAAAAAACAGTGAAATGTGCTCTGATTGGCATCTTGCAGTTAGTCATTTCTTTGCCATATTCTGAACTAGTTGCGATTTCCAAACAGATATGAGAGAGTCTCACATGTAACACCTTGCAGTAAATAATCTAAATTGGGTAATAGAAAAGCATGGATGCTGATAGCAAAGTTGTCTCTGTCTAAGAAATGAGATGAGAATGCTGTAGAAGTAGAGATAGTTCTAAACCAAGAAATTGGAATTCCAGTTTTTTGTGATGATAGTGGACAGGATAGAATGTAATGTACAATCAAATTCCATCAAGCAATTTTAACTTTAATAAATGGCTATGAGTGGGTTTTTTTTATCTTATGTTAATTTAGAAGTCTTTGTTTCGTTTACATATACATGCACATAAAGATGAAGCTTGAGCCTAACTTTGTAAAAGCCCCATTGAACTCAGTAGGATATTTAGCAGAGGCTTCTGTCTTTCTGACTGATGTCAAAGAAATTAAAAGGATTTTGTGTTGGTTGAATCATCTAGGTGAGTACCTCTTGAATGGAAATAAGAGGGTTGGTTCTATAGGCATCTTCTGGCTGGTTGTTGAAACATTTCTGCTTTGTTATGATTTTTAAACCAATGGAGACTGAATTTGTTATTAGGTATCCCTTTCTGTTTGCTTATTTACTTAATTTTTATGCCCCCCCCATCTCCCTTATAAAATAATTTTGGGCAGCTTTAATAATTTTAATACTTAGTTTAATAATAGTTTTAATACTAGTGCTGCAATCTTAAAACATGGATTTCTGTAATATGTTGAATTCTTGCTTTATAGTTGTAGGAAGTTTCTTTGAAGAAGGAATGTAAAGGCAGATAATAAACTGACAAAATTGGTTGTGTAATGGCTCTTCAAAAATGCTGTTCTGATGACTCTTGTTAAACCACGTATGTGGTTGAAATGTTGTAGTTATGGATAGTCCATGTCATAGCAATCAGTGGCAGCAATCAAGGGTTGATTAATACTCATGATATTTATGGGAGTGAGAAATCATGCTTTTGGGGTGCAGAATATTCCGTAATCTGGCATTTTGCCAAGCATTAATTTAATGTGTAATTATTTCTGAGCCAAATGTAGTGAATGGCACAGTATTTAGTAAAGAGGTAGTTGTTTCGCCATTACAACACCTGGGTATAAAAAGATGATGAAACTACATACTTTAAAGAGTTAGCTAAAAAAAAGAACTTTCAGGAAGTGTTTGTTGAAATTATTTAAGCAGTAAGAGGAAGCTGATCCTCTTTTCTTTTCTTTTTTTTTAAATCTGTTAACTCATTCAGAGTCAGTGCCGAAAATTTGTATACAGAAGACCTGCTCGGGTTCACCAAATATTACGAAAGGGAAATATATTTCTCTGGTTAATTTCTAAAAAACAGTTGTCTTTAAAAATACAATAGGCCAGAATCATCTGACTATGGTGGGGAATACAGGCTGAAACATCTACCTACCTACCTACCAGAACTGGGTAGAGTCGAAAAGAACAAAAGATAGTTTGGATCAGTGTGGCTGAAGCCCTCTTGTGTAGACATTATAGAACAATAAAACAAAGTTTGGATGAAATTCATGATAGTGAACCAGCATAGCAAGTATAACAGTTTAACATGCTGAGAATTCGAGGGAGATTTCTGAGCCCTGTCTTCTTCCTCCAGCTGTCCATTCATTGCTCCTACAGGACAGAAAGGCAACTGTAGCTAGAGAGGGCTCTTCTCAGAGGTGTTGGAGACCCCGGTTCAGTGGTGGGTTGCTCCTAGTTCTCTCCGGTTCTATAGAACCTACTAAAACCAGTGGGAGGTTCCACTCACCCACCCCAACATCATCAAGGTTGATCAGCGCATGCGCAGAAGTGTGTGCGCGTGTGCGAGTGAAGCAAGCGCGTGTGCGCATTCACATTGCGAACCGGTAGTAAAGGTAAGTAGAATTCACCTCTGCCCCGGTTGCAATTTCCCTCCTCACCCAAATATCTTGCACACAGTGACATGAAACCAGAGGCAACCAGAAAGGCAATATCCAAAATTAGCACAAAATGGCATGTCTCCCTGTCTGCCCAGTTTATGACAGCTGGAGTTTTCAGAATCTTCTCAGAGAAAAGCTTAGCTGGTTGGGAGCAGGCCCATCTTTCCACACAGCATCACGACAATGATAGAACCAGTGTGGCCCTCGGGGTTGTCCGGAGAATAATCTTGACAGCAGAAAAATACAGTAACCCAAATGGTTTTGTGTGATTTTTCTAGAACTGGAAAAGGGGGAGAAAAGAGAGAAAGAGAGAGATGTGATTTGATTCCTTTTTAGTCTTTTTTTTTTTAATCCACTGCTGCAGCAGGTCTAATGTAAATGTACAGGAAATCTGTAATATATTTATAAAGGGTGAGAATCTTCCCCGGAACTGGAGAAACCACTCCACTCCCCCCCAAAACACTCCGGCTCGCCTGTTTTTAGCTGTAAGCCTCTGCCTGATTGGTCCTTGCGATACTGATAAGAAGATTTATTCAGTAGGAATCCTGCAGCTTATCCCCCCACCTTTGTTTCTGACATCATTCCTGTCTCTATAGCAACCAGATGTGATGTAACTCCAAAAGGTTCCTTGGTCTTGGAGGGCAGGGAACTGGAAGCAGGAGAAAAGTCAGCTGGCCGCTAAATAGGGAGGATCCCATTTCTGTGCCTAAAGTGGGGGTGGGTGGGTCAAAGAGAAAGCCAAGTCAGCTGCTTGGCATGAATAGGGGAGCCCTCGCCCATCTGCCTGCAGGGAAGAAGAGACAGCGCATTGACACAGAGCTGGGATCTGGTCAGAGAAATCCCACCCACCTCCCCTTTCTCTTGTATTTGGCAGAAATGCTATTCATATAGGTTAATGTGTCCATATGGGAAACATCTTGTGTAATGAATGATGTCTTCGCTGATGGTTAAATAGGGCAGAAGAATCATTACACACACTTGCTCCATTTAATCAACAAATGTGCAGCCTTGTGCTCCATTGTGAACAGGTGTGCCAAAGGCGGACAAGCAAATGGGCTATTACTCAGTTAAAATTCTTTGCTTGGCGATCTTTATCTAAGCGTCGAGCTGCCCTTCTTCCAGATGTGCTGGCTGGATCTGTGCTCCACCTCTCCCCCCCCAAAAAAACATTTTCTTTCTGCCTCTTTTCAGTCACTGCAAGCAAATAGATTTAATTGGTTGAGGTACAGTATGCACGATGGTGATTAACTCACTCATTGCTGGATTTCCCTGCACAGGGACAGCCGGACTGAACAGTCATCCCTGTGACACTGGAAGGTGAACAACGAAGTATCCGGCTTGTGGAGCAGGTGGCTGACGCCTGTGTGGCACGTTTGCACCCTCACCTTTTCACCTTCTGTGGCCCGCAGTTGCGTCATCCCCACTGCCTGACGAGAGGCCAGTCTGCTTAGGTTGAGGAGAGAAGGAGTTAAGTCAGACAATCATGGGGCTGCCTTGCCGGTGGAAAAGAGCCCCTACCCTCCACACAAATCATCTGGTAATAGGTTTACTGGAGTGGCCCTGGAGGTTGAGCTAAGCAGCTTTATGGCAGAGAACACCCGAGCAACGAGGACGTGCATGCAGCACATGGAGGAAGGCTTCCCAGCTTGTCCACTAAATCTTTCCCAAACATAAAGGCCTCTGTGTAATCTGCTGAGAGGATAAAAGCTGCAGGGTGGCCACTGGGCTGGTGACATCGTTTCACAAACGGCTGTGTGCTGGCATTTCTTTCAGCCTGCCAGGGCAGGGCTGGTGAACTGCACTAAAAGGGGGAGCAGAATCTGGAGGGGGAGCTGAGTGGGTGGGCCAAAGCTGCTTGGAGGAACAGGCTGTGCGCTTGTGTAGCTCCACTGGCATCTCCCTTCCAAGGTAGTGAGGACAACCTGGCTTCCTCTCTCTCTCTGTCTCTGTCTCTGTCTCTCTCTGTCTCTCTCTCTCTCCCCCCCCACCCCTCAGGAGCCAAGCCAGTGAAAAGAATATACTTATCCTGAGATTTTGCCAAAAGGTTTCTGCTAATCAAGACAGATTGATAGCACTGCAAGAACATGCCATTGTTTTAAAAGTGGCATTGTTTAAAAAAAAAAAAACAATGCCACTTTTAAAACAATGGCATGCCAACAAAACAAGCAATTGTTTTAAAAAAAATTAGGGGTTTTAATATAGGGTTTTTAACTATGGGCCAAATTGATTTAATTGGATTTTAATATTGTTTTAAATTTTGTATGTGTATTTTATTTGCTGGCTGTTCACCGCCCCGAGTCCCTCGGGAGAGGGGGGCAGTATATAAATATAATAAACTATAACTATAAACTAACTATAACTATCCGGTGCAATACAAATGACTGAATTGTCAAAGTTTTACTCTTATTCTCACATGGGAGGGTCTGTGTGTGCATAATATATGTGCAATGGTTTTGGGGTGGTGCATGAGTAGGGAAATTGTATTTGCATATCTACAACTTATCTGTCTCCATGTTTCTTATATGTGTGTACATAGTGTTATGGCCCCCAAGAGCCTGCCTCAACATTTAGTGTCGCCCTCAGGGCCCAATAATTACTCAACCCTGCAAAGCATCACTATATCATGCTATTTTTACACCGTACATGCTATTTTACAGGCAGTGGATTAAATCTCCTGTTGCTCAAAGCTCTGCACTATTAATCCCCCGAAATGAATATAGGTTATGGCAGCCACCTAGAGACTATTGAAAAAAAATATTGCAAAGTCGTATTTTCATAGGACACCAGATAGCTAGGCAGTTCATAGGAAGAATTAGTGCCCTATCTTTTCGCAGACAGCCAACACTATTGAGAAAACCCCATGGAAAGAGGGAGGGCATGATGTAACATCTACAAGAAGCTACCACTGCCCCAAAGGATCTGTTCATAGCTTTTGTGGAATGGCCATGACACACAAAAGAAATCGTTTATAGCAGTGAGATCGAACTGGTCTTTCCAGGACTTTTATAATATGAAATCTGCTCTGTTTCCCTTTCATTGGGTTTGTATGTAAACTATGGAGACTACATGGTCACCAGGCTTTGGGGAGTTCCATGACATCATGACCCAATAGACAAGGAGATTGCTATCCTTTGATCATATCATTTTAGGGTAATAAGTAGCAGACAAGGTAGTCCCAAAGGTGCTTTTTCAAGAGGCAACTGGACTTTGTTTTTCTTTGAAGACATTTCACTTCTCATCCAAGAAGCTTCTTCAGCTCTGACTGGATGGTGGCATTTAGCAGACAAGGTGTTAACCTGGATTTGGGAGTTCCAGGTTCAACTCCCCATTTCATCACAGAGAACACTAATAATTTTACACTAGCCTAATTCCCAGCCAAAACTTGCTGGGGGAATAAAATTAGGAATCTACTCTGAGCTTGTGTAGAAAAGGTGGGATATTGATGCAATAAATAGATCATAACCATGTAGCCTAGTTCAATTTTCTCTAACTTGACTACAAGTGCACCCCAGCCAATATCAATAATGCCCTCCAGATGTCGTAGATATATAATAGCTTAACTCATCTAAAAGAATTAATTTGTAGAAACGAGGTAGGATATGTAACCCAAGACACATTTGGGTTACATCTAATTTCTTTATTTGTCCCTGGCCTAGCATAGAGAGGAATCATTATAATTGGGCTCCAGAGAATCTTCAAAGGAAATCAACTAGCTGGAGTCCACCCCAAGAGGCTCGAACCTACAATGAGATTTTAGAGAGTTTGAAATTGTTGGGGAGATAAAATATAAGGATTGGCTAAAATCAAGAAACCCATACTAGAGCATTTTGCTTTATGTGGCCCTCAAGTGAACAAAGCACAGAGGATGAAGCTGCAGATTGCCTCTCCCTTCTCCTGCTTTTGAGGGGTCCTTGGTGCTCTGTGAGCTTGGTTGTTTTCTTGAAGACATTCCATTACCCAATAGTACCGTGTTTCCCCGAAAATAAGACCCTGTCTTATATTTTTTTTGAACCCTGAAATAAGCGCTTGGCCTTATTTTTCAGGAAGGTCTTATTATTTTGGGGCACATGGAGCAAGATGGGGCTCTTCTTGCCATCTTACCTGATTTCCAGTTCTGCGTTTAAATATTTTCAGGGAGGGCTTATTTTCGGGGGAAGGCTTATTTTAGCACATGCACTCAAAAGCCCAGTTGGGCTTATTATCAGGGGATGTGTTATTTTGGGGAAAACATAGTGCTTTATAGCCTACTGTAAGTGGTTTACAGAGTCAGCATATTGGCTCCAACAATCTGGGTCCTCATTTTACTGACATCAAAATGGAGGAAGGCTGAATCAATCTTGAGCCGGTGAGGATCAAACTGCTAGCAGTGGGCAGAGTTAGCCTGCAATACTGCATTCTAATCACTGCACCACCAAGGCTTATTACCCAAACTAGGCAACATCATCAGTGCTAATGTGATGTTACCTGGTTTGGGTAATTGAACAGCTGCAAGAAAACAACTAAGCTCAGAATGCTCCAAGGACCCCTCATTTCAACCCTGAGCTACAAGCACTCTCCTACTTTTCTGGTTTTTGGGTGAAGGGGAAGGCACACACATGAATGTATCTAAGCACAGATTTTCACACATGGATTTCATAATTTGGTTGAGTAATTTGCTGCAACTGTTAAAAAAAACTGCCTACCACAGCTTTATTAATTATTGCTGCTGTCCTATGTCAGTATGGGATGGACACTCTTCTGGGAAGGTTTGAGCCACGAGAAAATGTGGATTTTTCTGGGATTTGCATTCAAGATATCCACAAACTATATAATATTTGCAAAACCTTTTGGGTTTCAAGGCTAAAGGATGGAGAGAGAGAGAGAGAGAGAAAGGGATAGGACGCACAGCTGTAAAATTGTGCCAAATACCTACGCTGTCTCACAATTCACTGAGCAGCTGATGGGCTCCTTGTTGCTGCTGTCATCAGCCCTTCTTCCTTCTGTTGCAATCCACGCATGTGCTGGCCTCTTCTTCGAGGAGGAAATTCTTCAATTTATACTCCTCTGTTAGCAAAGCATCCTCTTAAGTGGCATGTAATATGTGATTCTCAAGATCTAATTTTTCTCTTGGCTTCCTCACCTTGACCTCAGCGCTTTGCTCGCACACAAAATAAAGTGAAACGGTCCCAATGGTCTCGCTGAAGTGGTACAAATATCTCTGCCCCTTTTTGGCGCAAAATTACAAAACATTCCTTACACTTGACTACAGGTCAGATTTAGGAGGTAGGTTGACTGTGTGAAAATGAGGCCGGGGTGGCTGCCCCTTTCATAATTGTACGGTAGGCAGAATTTCAGCTTAACTTCTCATGCTGAAATTCTGACTTCCAGAACCAATATTAAAGGTGCAGAAACATTTTGTGTCAGACCTGACCCTATTAAACAACAGCGGCCAGATGTTTTACTGAATCTAGAGGTTGGAACAGGTGAATTAGGAAATTGACAATAAGGATATTATTCAATCCTCGGAGTAAAATTATCAGGTTAGAGGTGGGAAAAATTGAAAACACTGTCAGGCACAAGGAAGAGCAACATTTTGCCAGCTTTTATCTGCTTGTTAGGGGGAAGGAAGCGCAAGAACATTGCTTCATTTTCATTTTTCAGAAATAAGAAATAAACTACCCTGTTTCCCCCAAAATAAGACAACCCCTGATAATAAGCCCAATCGGGCTTTTGAGCGCAAGGCAATAAGGCCAAGCACTTATTTCAGGGTTCAAAAAAATATAAGACAGGGTCTTATTTTCGGGGAAACACGGTACCAGATATCCTTCAGGTTCTTATTTATCTAAGAAATAAATTAAGCATGCCTGTCCTGCCCCCTCCAGCGTATACATTGTTAGCATCTCTCTTCACAACAGTGTCTAAAAATAGGTAAGAAAAGATGCAGCGTTTAGCTTTAGGAAGTATTACCTATCCTGGTATGGAGACAGGCTGCTTGTTCCTTGTTTATGTTATTCCAAATGCCTCCATTTTATTACAATTTATAGTAAGCGTTTGGATTTCTCTGGAAATATGAGAAAGGTGCTATATCTGAAAAAAAGAATGAAGAAACGATTAATCACAGTCATAGTGCATTTTCTCAGTGGCCAAAAGATTGACTTTCTGGCTTTCTTAAGCAACTTTCTTTGAGAAAACACGGTCTCTAGTCGAGCTGCAGTTCCAGAGTAATTTTTCTCCTGCATCAATGGGAAACTCTCCCCTCCCCCACAATCATGTGACAATACTCTGCAGTGTGAATTCTTTGCCTCAGTGAAAGTATGCTATGAGGGTGACCAACAATTGTCTTAAATATTATTTTGGCTGGTAGGATGAGCAAACCACTTCCCAGGTTGTCCCTGGATGGGCATTGGGATTATGCAGGAAGCAGAGGACAGCTTTTTCAGCTAATTCAAACAAGAATGCCAGAAAGCTTTTCTCTTAGTTAATCTCTTAATTCTTAAGGCCATATTCGAAGTCCTAGGAAATTTAAGCACCCAGTTTACATTCTGCAAGGGACAAGTTTATTTTAAAGATACAGGTAGTCCTCGACTTGCAACCATTCATTTAGTGACCGTTCAAAGTTATAATGGTGCTAAAAAAAGTGACTTATGACTGTTCTTCACATTTACGATTGTTGCAGCATCCTGACAGTCACATGATCAAAATTCAGATGCTTGGCAAGGGGTTCATTATATTTATAACGGCTGCAGTGTCCCGGGGTCATGTGATCTC